ATAATAATATTAATTGCAGACTAGCCGAAGTTAAGGAAACAGTTGGGGAAATACGAAGACGACTTGATATGGAAGAATCAGAAAGACGGTCAGCTACACAGCACTCAATGTTGAAGTAAGTCACCAATGTCTCAAAACAATAAACATAGTTAATTGGTTACATGTAAGTGATCACCTTCTTGGGAAGTGAGAGGCTAAGGGTTAGGATTAATAGAGTTTGACCATTAAATAGATAGAGGTTAATATGTTTTACAGTAAATATRAGGTAACATTAATAATAGTAAATATGGAGGATGACAGGTTGGGTGGACAGGCCTGGGTTCGATTCCCAGACCAGGCGGTCATGTTGTTTTCTTGGGCAAGACGCTTAATAATAATAAATAATATGTGGTATTTATATAGCGCCGATATCCTCTGAGTTCAAAGGCGCTTCACATGTATAGATCATTTCACATGGACCGCTGTTTTTAAGACGCAATTGGCAGCCACGCGGCTTACAATCATGAGTGTTAGTAATTAGTATGGGTTAGTAGTAAGGCCTAGCCACACACACTGGGAATCATTCCCTACACTCTTATGCGAACAGTGGTGTGGGTTCTTTAACATCCCTCTAATACAGGTTAGTGAGTGAAGTGTAGAGAGACGGGACCTCCGATTTTACGTCGTTATCCGAGAGGACGAGAAGATCTTTTACCATTTGCAGATGGAGAAAGCCAAAGGCAGCAACTTCTCCTCAATTATTTTAAGACACTGAGTGTTGGTCCGGCCGGGGTTTGAACCTGCGACCTCCCGCACTAAAGTCTGATGCTCTACCTACAGAGCTAACCGGTCGGCGGTGCTTAACTCTCTCAGTGCCTTGTCTTCTCAGAACAGGACACAAAGCCAAAGGTTCCATCTCTCTACACTTCTCATTAGCATCAGAGGGACATTAAAGAACCCACACCACTATTCGACTAAGTAGGGCACTGAGTTCCCGGTGGTGTGGCTGCAGCACTCGTATCACCAGCATTGAGATCAGCTTGGAGTGATGTTGGTATAAAGCTTACTAGTCAATGAAACCTAATACTAATATACCTGTAGCTAGTAACCCAATGAATGGCTGCCTTAAGTGCTGGAACTATGTAGAGATGTAGATGATATGACTGCTGAATAAGCAGGCTGCCTAAGGGCCGCTGCACACTGTGACATAAGCAGAAGCAGAAGTGTATTTTGTAGKTGTGAACCGGGGAAAACAGAAKCAGAGACASAAGCAGATRAAAATGAAAACTTTTTCATTTCATGGTCTTCTGGTTCTGTTTCTGCTTAAATATGTTGAATGATTATGAGTGTGAAGCGGGACATCATAAGCAGAAGAACATGCTTCTGTCAAGTGTGAACAAGCTTCTGCTTCGGTTTCTGCTGATATCATAGTGTGAACYGGCCCCAATAGARGTTCAACTGCATATTGACTRAATGTAACTTTTAACTCACCATATTATTGTCATATTCATTTAGTATCGAACAGTTRAAAAACATGATTCAAGAAGTTGACCACAAACGAGAGGAGGACATTCAAGCATCGTCCATGATAAATAGAGACAAGGACAGCATGATGATGTCTGAAAGAAGCCAGATAGCAAACAAAATGGCTGAACTAACAGAAGAACAGAACAAGAAACTTCTACAGAAAGAAATTAGGCTGAGAGAAGAAGCGCAGTCAAAGTTTTTAGCTATGGAAAAGGTACGTTTTTAATTTTAAATCTTAAAAGATTTTTTACGAGGTATAGATATGAGATATCATGTGTGCATACAGTTTATTCTCTAGTAACTGGGGTGTTTATTGGTAAATGCTGGTTGAAACTCTGGCTTTGTGTATAAGGCCAGTTTGCCCACTTATTATTTTGCGAGGCAATCATCACTAGCATTCACACTAAGCAGTAACAGTGATGTTACTTGGGACAACTTGCAGTGGAAAGTTTTTGCTTAACGTGCAGGTGTCACTTTTTGTGCAGCAATCAACGTTTCGTACRAATTCAGCTGTAGTCCAGTCTCAAGTGGCTACAAGTGTGCTACTTATTTTCCATGCTTTTAGAAGATGAAGCATTGTTGCTATTTGTCTTGTCTTAGATGTAAAGTACATATTGCAGGCTGGGAAGGTTGATGTGTGGATTCTTYCAGACACAGATCAACTCCTCAGTGTTTTTGTTTTGCAACCAGAAAAAAGAAAATGGCTCATTAGGAAGATGGTCCAGGAACCACGTTACACTTTGCTTCATGTTGTTATTTTCAAAGAAATTATTGTTACTTTATTGCAGCGACTGAGAGAAGAGCAAGCATCCAGAGTTGCATTTGAGAAGTCGATAAGAGAGGAGGTGGAGAGAAGATGGCAGTCTCTAAAGACTTACTTTGATGAAGAAATTCAAACAGTCAAAGGTGGTGGAAAGGTAAGCAAAATGACTAGGTTTATCCAAGATTGAGAAAGTGATGAAATCAGAATATACTGTAGTAATGCAGACCTGGTTTGTGCTATTCCTTGAAATCCTTGAAAAGTCCTGGAATTGAAAACTCATTTTCAAGGGCACTTCAAAAGCCCTTGAAAATGAAAAAAAAAAACCTCCTGGCAAACTTGTTCCTTGAAACTGATTGATGAAATTGAAATGTTGGTTTTTAGCTTTTAGATTGAAATGTGGCTATTTTTTCTCCTTGAAAATCACATTTTTTGTGCTTAAATTTAAAAGAGTTCTTGTCAAAAAGTTCTGGAATTTTGTAGTGAAAATGTAGGACGAACCCTGATAATGCCGTTCATTCTATTTATAATAATAGCTACTGCAGTGTCTTATGAGCTTGTTTTCTTTGAATTGAATCTACAGGTGGGTCAGGTTAAGACAGATCAGAGTCTTGTACGGTTAAATGAAGCCATTTCTCTCCTGGAAAGACAAATGGAGGAAGGGCGCAGGGCTGTTGAACAAGTCTTGCATGCTGAAATCACATCAAGGTAACACGCATGGATCATTATGCATTAAGCATGTGCTACTCCTTGAAATACTTGAAAAGTACTGGAATTGAAAACTCATTTTCGAGGGTGCTTGAAAAGCCCCTGAAATGGGAAAATTGCTGAAAACATCTTGAATGTGATTAAATTGACATTCCTCCTTGTTAGCTTTTGGATTAAATGTGGCAAATTTTGAAAAATCACCACTGGAAACGTCCTCAAATGTCATAAATATCTTTAAAAATAGTCCTGCATTATGTTTTTGTGCTTAAGAAGTAGTATTGAAAAGTCCTGGAATTTCATAGTGAAAATGTAGCATGATTGAACCCTGATTAAGATCACCAGGAAGGTGTAAATATCTTAACATCAAT